TTGTGATCGCTTAAAATATTTTTCTTTTATTATAACAACGTGATTAATTTTTTTGTGGCATACAATAATGTTTATTTATGATTATTAAATTAATCAGAGAATTTTTTAGTCACAACATAATATACAAATATTTGTAAGTAGTAAAATTGAAAAGAGTAGTAAATTCTTATAATAAAAATAATTTTTTAACTTACAATATTGCAGATTACCTTAAAGATATGTTTAATTAATAACACGGTATGTTACACAAAGTTTGCAATAACTATTTACGTATATTTATGCTTTGTAGATGATATCAAGGAAAATAATATTTTAAAAATGCAAGTACTTAAGTGTCCTTTTCAACTTCTAACAATATTTGGGTGTTGGCTACCGAATTATTGGTCGCGGTATAAATGTATAGCATACTACATATACACAAGTATAGTGGTTTTATTAATAAATACTTTTGTGCTATCACAATTGATGGATGTAATTCTAACAGTTGACAATGCCAACGATTTTGCTGATAATTTTTTTATACTGGTTGGCATGCTTAATGCTTGCTGCAAATTATTCATTTTGCTCGTGAATCGTAAAAGCATTGTCATGCTAATCAACATACTGATGGAAAAACCATGTAAACCGACGAAAGTGACGGAAATAAATATTTTCTATAAATTCGATAAAGGCATACAGTAAGTATTACAAACATCTATAATACTATGATATTATGTTATTACTAAATATTAGAAAAAGTATTCAAATTTATTTTGTATTATTTTTTATATCTATATTTTTACATAAAAATTTGTTTTTTTAATTAAATACTTAACACAATCTATTCTAAATGGAAATATGAAAAACATATATGAGTTATTAAAAATAAATTATTTTTAAATTAATCCATAAAGTCTTAGAAGGCTTTGCGCATTTTGATTGAAAATCCTTGTAGCTTGGGTCGTAATAAAAATTTTCAGATTACACTATTATTTAGGAGTAAAGAGATTTGCTTTTTTTCACAAATCTAATCAGTGATAGGCCATTTTATTGACAAATGTTCTACTAATAATTGATTTATCTGCATTTACAAGTAGAATAATTGATTATGATTTATTATTATGATAATTTATTATTATGATTATTATTTGAGTATCTATAATACAAATTCTACTTATAAAATTATATATCAGTTGAATATTTATCAGTAAATGGCAGAGGTGGCATCTAAATTATTTTTTACTTAACTTTAATTAATTTTTTGTTTTTATTTTAGGATATTCTGTCATATCGCTGATTAGACTAAAAAAACAACTCTTGTTATCACTAAATATCAAATGCGGTTTATAAATTTTGATTATGAGTTATAACGATTTAGAACACAAAGGTGGCCTAAAAAAACAAACATACAAAAAATTTATAAAAAATTTTAGAAAATTACACTTTTAGATTATTTTATAATTATTTTAGCATTAATACTTGGCGCTACATATATTTGGGAACGATAACAATAACATGTATCGTGTTATCATCTTTGGCTATAAACTTTAGAAATAGAAAATTAACATACAGGGCATGGTTGCCATTTAATTACTCATCAACGTTATTGTTCTCTGTGATGTACACCCACCAACTGATAAGTTTTATTTTCGCTTCGTACTTAAGTATGGGATGCGATACTCTTATTTGTGGGTTGTTAGTTCATATTTGCTGTCAAATTGAGATCTTAACATATCGTTTGAGAAAAATTGTATCTTGTTCAGACATTCTTCGTGATTGCGTACGTCAACATTATCATATCTTCAGGTTGTTTTACAATTTTGCCAATTTTACAAATTCTTATTATAGTAGGTTTGAAATTATTATTGCACGCAGCTTAACACATAACGTTGTTCCTATCCAAGCTTATTTTACTAAAATATATTTTACATTAATTTTATTAAAATATATGTTAAACAAACGAATTTGTTAAATTTTAGACTTGCAGTTGTTGTAAATGCGAAGTTTAGACTCGTCATTATTTCCCAATTTATAATGAGTACGTTGGTGGTATGCTTCAGCCTTTATCAATTAAATACATCAACGACGAGAGCCAAATATATTGAAATGATATTATTTATATCTTCTATGTTAACGCAAATCTTCTTCTATTGTTGGTATGGAAATGAAGTAAAGATAAAGGTACAGTAAAATATAAATATATTTGATAGACACATTTTAAATAAACTAAATCTCTTCAGTCTATATTTAGATACGGAATTAAAACACTTTGATATGCAATACATATAGGAGATATCAATACGGCATAAATATATTTTATTTCTTGCCCAAATGCTATGTATTCATACATTGTACATATTTCAGTAGAGTCACCAAATGATTGATAATATTTTTGAAATGGAATGGTTGACATTGGACCAAAATAGTAAGAAGTCTTTAATAATAATAATGAGGCGAATGGTTGTGCCTATTCAGATTACCTGTGCTTATATTGTTCCCATGAATCTCGATTCCTTCATGAGTGTCAGTGTAGATATTATTAAAGCTAATTTCGCTAAATTTTAGTTCGAGATAGTGAAATATTTTTTACACATTTAAGGGAGATTTTATAATATATTGATATATCTATTTTTATTATATTATTATATTAGTTTAATAAATTTTGACAAAGTTTATTAATATATAATTGTAATAGTTTATAAAATAGAAATTTAATTAAGCATGCTGTTAATTTTATAAATTTGAAAAATATTAAAAGCTGTTATGATTATTTCTTATAATGTAAACAAATTCACTATATATGTGTATAATAATAAAATTTAATGTATCCAATATTATTATTGGCGAAATCAGCTTCAAATTTACTAATTATTGAACATATATTTAGATAAAGATTAAGATGATCTGTATACTAATTCTAGATACTTAAGGCATCTTATTCCGTTTACAACTTACTGCAAAATGCACGGGTGTGATTCGATGAAGTAAGAGTACTATTCATAGTATAAATATTTACTATGAGAAGAGGTAAGAAAAGAAAACTAAACATCGTGTTTTTATAATTAGTTTTAATTATAATATTAATATTTTGTGTATTAAAAGAAGAATTGAAAGATTTGAGTATTACAAGCATTTTAGTAATAGTAGTAACGTAATCAGTAGCTATGGAAAAATTAAAATTTCATAGAAAATTTAAATATCTATAGCATAAATGTCATAGAATTGTAACCTAAACTAGCATCAAATAAAGATGTACTTTTATGTTCAATATTTGACGATTCTGCTTCGTATTTTTTCTACTCCGCCCCTGAAAAACATTGTTTCGTAGATATAATTACACTGTATCTATCTCGGTAGGTTTGGTACATGTAAGTTTTGCTACTGTGTACATCTATGTAGCATGTGGATTCATAAAAATATTATTTCATGAGAGACACAATGTGAGGGATACATTATAAAATGAATAATGAAATTACCAACTGCGAAGGGTGGAAGTATGGAACATACATTCTTATATGGATACATATAATAAATTCGATCTTATAGCAAAGCTATAGACTCTAGACATTTGTCAGTCATTCTGTAGATTTTGGTGTTAGCTATACTTATCGGTTGTGATCGCTTAAAAATTTTCTTTATTCGCAATATTAATTCGATTAGTTTTTGCGGCAAATCTCACAAGGTTTACTAATTCTTAGACTAATTAGAGAGTTCTTTGTTATAAATGTAATATATAAATACTATTTGTGAATAATAATGAAGAAAAATCTACTGAACTCTTCTAATAAAAATAGAAGTGTTTGTAGTTAACAAAATTGCAAATTACTTTCAAGATATGTTTAATTAATAATATGTTACACAAAGTTTTCACTGTACAATGTGTATATTGTGTACTTCGCAGATTATATCAAAGAAGATAATCTTTTAAAAAAATGCACATACTTACATTTACTTTTAAACTTTTAACGATAAGTGGATGTTGGCGACCGGATTCTTGGTCATCACTGCATAAACGCATAGTATACTACGTATATACAAGTATAATAGCTGTGTTAGTATATACCTTTATGTTATCGATATTGATGAATATAATCCTCACAGTGGATAATGCCGAAGATTATATCAATAGTTCCTATATACTAATTGCTATGTTTATTACCCTCTGTAAATTGTTTGTTTTAATCATGAATCGCAAAAGCATTATCATGCTAATCGACATATTGATGGAGAAACCATGTAGACCATCAAGATCGATTGAAATACAAATATTCTATAAATTCGATAAAAGCATACAGTAAGTATTATCAAACATTAATATAATACAATATTTTTATATTGCGTTATTATTTAATATTGGAGAACTTGTTTACATTTATTTTATGTTACTTTTTACATCCAGGTTTTTAACACAAAAAATTCTGTTTTTAATTAAATGTTTAATATATATTAATTTATAGTAAATATAATAGTAATATGAAACAGAACATATGTATGAGTTATTAAAAGTAAATTATTCTTTAATTTAATTCATGAAGTCCTAAGAGTACTCGTTCTTGTAGTTTGAGTTTTAATCAAAATATTTAGATTGCATTGATATTTACTTATTAATATTTATGTGTAAAAAGAGTTGCTCTTTCTGAAAACCTTAGTCAGTGAAGTTGTAGGACAAAATAATATGAAATTTAGAAGTTGTACTATCAAATATTCAACTAATAAATGGTTATCTGTTTGAGCAGAAAAAATTAATGTACTTATGATGTATACATATAACAAAAATGTTACTTAATAAAATTAACGAAATCATTTATTAGTTGAATGTTTATCAGTAAATAGATGGCATTATATTTTCTATTCTTAACTTTAATGTTTATATATTATTTGCGAATATATGCTACCCATTACCAACCAGATTCTCGGAAAGAGCAGCTTCTTCTACCTCTAAATATCAGATTTGGTTTAAACATTTTGATTAGGATCAGAATTACCAGGATTTACTACATACAAGTAGGGGGAATCAATGAAATCAAAATATATACTTAAATAGAAAAGCTTATATAAATTTTTGAACGTTTACTACATATTTGAGAAATATTTTATAATTATTGTAGAATTAATACTTGGCGCTTTGTATATATGGGACTATTAGCATTATTTGGCGTCGCGTTATCTTCTTTATCTACAAGCTTCAAATATAGAAAATTAATACACCAAACATGGCTGCCATTTGATTACTCATCAACATTACTGTTTTATCTCATGTACATTCATCAGATAATATGTATGATGATCGCAGCGTTCTTAAATATTGGTTGCGATACCCTCATCTGTGGATTATTAGTCCATATTTGCTGTCAGATTGAGATCTTAACTTATCGTTTGAGACAAATTATATCCTATTCAGACGTTCTTCGCGAATGCGTATGTCAGCATTATAATATTTTCAGGTTAAACTTTACAATTTTGTCAATTTTATAAATTCTTGTACAATCACTTTTAAATTACTATTGTTTACATTTTATTAATATTGCGTTAATATAATATTGCTTTTATCAAGTTTATTGTTTTAAAGTACGTCATTATACATATAAGTAAAATTGTTAAATTTTATTTATAGAAATGTTCAATTTTAGACTTGCGTTTTTTGTAAATGCGAAGTTTAGACTGACTATTGCTATCCAATTTATAATGAGTACATTGATGGTGTGCTGCACCCTTTATCAAATGAGTAAATCATCAACGAAAATTAAATCTGTTGAAATGACATTAAATGTACTTTCTATGTTAACTCAAATTTTCTTCTATTGTTGGTATGGGAACGAATTAAAGATAAAGGTATGGTAATAGACATTGAGTGTATATCATGGATATACAACAAATGCTTGCAACACATTGTTGACAGGAGACGTGAATCGGCGTCTTTTATTTCTCAAACATTAAGGACTGCAAATGTGCAGGAAACTGAGGCTTGATCTGTTTCGCAGTATTGCGTCAACAATGTGTTAAATAAATGTTAAATCTATTCCGTCTATATGTTGATGCAAAATTCTAATAGTACATATTGTTAAAGCACTTCAACAACAATATGTACAAGATCTTAATGCAACGTGAATATTTTATTTCTTGCATGAGTGTTATCTATGGATACATTTAATATGTATATTTCAGTAGAGTTACCAAATGATTGATGACATTTTTGAAATGGAGTGGCTAACATTGGACATAAATATAAAGAAATCTTTAATGATAATAATGAGGCGAACAATTGTGCCTATTCAGATTACCTGTGCTTATGTTATGCCTATGAACCTTAGTTCTTTTATGAGTGTTAGTATAGGTACTACTAAAGCTAATTTCGCCAAATTGTAGTTTTAAATGTAAGATTTAATTGTTTTACATAAAAAAAGTAATGTATTAATTTATTATATTGAAACATTCTGACAAGCTTAAACAAATTTTAATCATTTAATAAATAAAAATTACTTTTTATGAAATATTTGAAAATGTTGGTAATTTGGAACAATAAAAACAAATTTAGCATGATATGTTTTTAATGTTAAAATTTAACATAGAGGTATAACATTATTGACGAAATCAGCTGCAAATTTATTAATTAGTGTACACATTTGAATAAATATTAAGATTATCTATGTACTAATTCTAGATACTTAAGACGTCTTATTCCATGTACAACTTACTGCAAAAGATGTAGGTGTGATTCTCTGAAAGATCTGTGGAATTGCTCTACTGAGATATCATAATATCAAATCTGAAAACAGGCAAAAAAGAAGAAGAAATATAATATTATTTGCAATTAGTATTAATAGCATCACTTCACTTAACATATCATGTTTAACATATCACGATTTTGAAAATAATAAAGAATAATCTTCGAAAACTTTTATTTATTATATATTCTATTACATATTTCTCTTATTTTTGTATGTTTATTAAAATTTATTTTCTATCTAGGTATATTTACATTTTGAGCTTTCTGTTCTATCCTGCTTTCTATGACACACTTCTGTAATATAATTTTAACATCTTCTGTTCATAACGGAGGAATCAGAAATTACGGTGAAAATCAATACGAAGAGAGGATCATATATGGCAACTATTCAGAAATACATAGAGTAGTCGTGATAAATAAAATATCTTTTAACCGAAGGGAAGTAATACCTATAATTGCATTATCTTCATTAAAATTTATGAAGACAAAACAGTCGACAGTATTCATATTCCTCCGTTTCTCATATGGCGTTCTAACTGAAAACAATATCTTACAATGTCAGCATTTAAAGGCCGTATTTTCAGAGACCTATAATCGGTACAATAAAAATGTATTTATAGGATCAATGTTTCATATCCAATATTATGATAATAACGTATCTATATGGACAATGAGATCTTAAAGGAAAAATTGTACAGTCTATGAACGTTCCACGTTTGTCATTCGTTCGAAATTGTCTTGTTTGTCATTTCTCAGTTTATTTCGAAGATGTTGAAACTTCAGAAATTTTACAGCAAATAAGATTTAGTTATAATTAATTGTGCAAATACTGTGCAAATATCTTGTGGAAAAATTTAGATGAGGTTGCAGACATAAAAAAATATTACGTGAAACAAAGATGCGTATCTTGCAATTAACTTTCAAGATTCTGACAATTGTTGGATGCTGGCGACCACAGTCCTGCTCATCATTTTGCTTGCGCATAGTTTATGACGCATACACGGTTTTCATGATAATATTATTGTATACTTTTCTAGTGTCACAATTTTTGGACATTATTTGGAATGTTGACAGTGCCGAAGATTTCACCGAAAATTTGTATGCCATGATGGCTTCGGTTGTTTCGTGCTCTAAAATGCTCAGTTTGCTAATAAATCGGAAAAATATTAATATGTTAACCAACGTGCTCGTTGAGGAACCCTTCAAAACATTGGAGACGGACGAAATAAAAATTCGATATAAATTCGATAGATCGATATAGTAAGTTTTATCACTTAGCAGTAAAGATTATTTTTAAGAACATGTTAATCATAAATTTTTATTTTATTTTTGATATACAAATTATAACGGTCTAATTATTGTAAGTACACGTTTTTTTTATAATGTATCATTAAATATTAGAGAAACTGTATTATAGAGGAATGAGTGTGACTATCTCCACAGTCATTTTGCAGTATCAATACACTTTGCTATACGATTTTGGTGGAAACAACTTGTGCGTGTATTACCGTGACATCCTTATTCACGGTATTCAGAAAAGGGAATCTAACATATAGAGCATGGCTACCATATGACTATTGTTCGTCCACCGTCGTATTTTGTCTCACATATGCTCATCAACTTATCAGCTTAACCGCTGGATCGCTCGTCAATGTGGCCTGTGACAGTCTCATTTGTGGATTCATGGTCCACATTTGCTGCCAGTTCGAGATTTTAGAATGTCGATTGAGCAAAATATCGAATTATAATACTCTTCGCGACTGTGTACGTCACCACAACAGTATATTTGAGTTAGTTGTTTTAATCTTAATCTTCTGAAAATATTTTACACATTTTACTGAAAAGTAGAAGTAATAGAGCGCACATTTATAAAAAGATTACTCTTCTCTTAAACATTTGCAGATTTTGTTTTAATTTATGAAGTATTTTGGTGTAACATTTTTTAGCATATTGTTATACAGGTGTCTGATGCAAAAGTAGCCACTTTGCAAATAGCGGTAGATTGGGTTAAACTAAGGAGAATATCATGTACCGAGGTACAAAGAATCGATAGTTACGGACAAAGAAGTTTAT